CTATTCTTAGGAGCAAAAACACCCAAAATTAAATTAATAACTATAGAAAACAATAGTCTGGACATATCTAAGTTACCCAGACACACTTAAAGGAAATTGTTACTATCAGTGTTTATTTTGTATCTAATTATCCTCTGCTTGGATACAGGGCCATTGTTAAAAATCTTCCTTCTGCTCAAAGGAATGTTTAACTCTAGAGACTCATCCTCAGCTTTGGTAAGTCTTTGAGAAGCCATTTTGGCCCTACCAATGTTTAGGAAAAATGGACAAATATACATTTTTTAACTATGACAAAATCCAGTATATGAAATAAAATGCACTTCTGACGATGTCCTCTGTAACAAATATGTCTTCTTTACTGTTTGTTTGTTTCCATAGGGCACTGGCAGCTCCATCAGTTCACTGTTCTTGCTCTTATAACAATGGCGTTGGTGCTGGGGCAAGTGTACCCAGGTTGATGTCTCGGTCTAGTTTCCCTTGTAATTGAGGCTGTGTTTCATGCCTGGGGGAGTTGTTTCCATTTCACTTAAGAATCAGAGTCCTTCAATCTCCTTGCATTACTTTTGTTGTGATATAACACTTTAAAAGCTCCCTGACTGACAACTGTGGCCGGAGGCTGGGGTCTGCTGGGAGTGGCATCAGGCACTGAAAATAATATCAGTTCATCTGTTCACTGAAGGGCAGCAGTGGCAGAGTCTTGGAATGAATTTTAGGATCACACACGGATCATGAGTTAGGAAATGCATACAAACATGCCTTCTAATTGACTGATGAGATTAGAAAGTCTTATTCTAGGGCCTCCCCGGTGGCGCAGCGGTTGAGCGCTGGGTTGCGAAGCTGCCCGTGACCTCTGCGGCGCCGGTTCGATCCCCGGCTGCTCCCCGGCCACCACAGGAGGGTCCCACATGGCGCGCAGACCCCTCCTGCCGCCCGCTGCTCCCCTCAGCAGTGTACTTCGGTCCTTCTGCCTGCTCTGCTCCCCGCTCTGGCTCTGGTGAATTCTCTCGCCCTTCTGACTGTACCCAGTGCATGTATAAAACAAACAAACAAACAAGTAAAATAAAATAAAATAAAAGCATGCCTCTATAAAAAAAAAAAAATTAGAAAGTCTTATTCTATCATATACAGTTCCATAGATACAAAAACATTGGGATGTTTTCCCCACATGGCGATTGTTACTTAACCAGTAGTTACTTCATATATTTCTATTTATTTATTTTACTATGATTAAAAATATAATACTATAGGGCTTCCCTGGTGGTGCAAGGGGTTAAACACCGCACTATGAAGCAATCCACAGCCTCTGCAGCATGAGTTTGATCCCTGGCCAGCCAGAGAGCTACCCACAAGGCGCAGCAGACCTCTCCTGCCTTGCTAGCTGCTGCCCTCAGCAGTGTACTTTGGTCAGTCTGTCTGTTCTGTTCCCCGCTCTGTCTCTTGTGAGTCCTCTCACTCCCCCACCCACATCTCTGGTCTGTACCCCCGCTCTTGTATGCATAAATTAATAAATCTTAAAAAAAATACTATACGAAGACTGGAAGTGTTACTCAAATTCAGTTGTCACGTGGGTACAACAGGCAGTTTTCTCATAGGCTGGACCCCAGCATAGGACCCCCAGTTCAGACTAACTCTCAAGAAGACTGTTCAGCTGGGAACACCTTACTTTCCTGTGTGGCTGCACTGGCATTGGATTACCTGGTCTGTCTAGCACCTTACTGGCTGGGTTAGTTGATAGTGGCACAGTTACTGAATGTTCAGCCCCCAACCAATCCTGTTGGCACAGTGCTCTTGTGGATTCTGGCACTTCTTTTCTGCTTCTGCTTAGAATTTTAAGTCTCTTTGTACAACCTGGCGAGAGAACGCTGGAATCCCCAGTCTCCGATTTCAGAGGAACTTTGTCGATTAGAAAATGTCAATCCCTAATTTTACAGAAGGTCTAAATGAGCCTAATAAAACTAAAGCTGTCCAATACGGAAATATCTTTTTAGGGCTGGAAAAGAATTTGGAACTTGGGTTTTTATTTTATTATTTTTTTAAAGATTTATTTATTTATTTATTTATGCAAGAACTGGGGTGTAAATCAGAGGTGCAGGGGTGAGAGGATTCACCAGAGAGAGTGGGGAGCAGAACAGGCAGATCTATTGAAATACACTGCTGAAGGGAGCAGCAGGCGAGGTGAGAGAGGTCTGCTGTGCCATATGGCTTGATCCCTGGCTGGCTGGAGATCAAAATCGGTGCTGCAGTGTCTGCAAATAGCTTGATAGCACTGTCTTTAACACCTGCGCCACCAGGGAGGCCCTGGAACTTGGGTTTTTAGGTTCCAGAGATCCTTGGTGTGTTTACCCACTTTTTCATCAATCCAGGGGGAGAAGAAAACAGGAGTCCCATTCAAGCCTGCTCTAGTAGGGAATCAAACTCAGATTGTATATGATAGTTTAAATTATATTATTTTTATTGAAGGTAATGTTACCCCTCTGTATTACCTCCAAGTCAGTTTTTAGACACTTTTTGACTTCAAGGAAAGGGGAACTGGAAGCAAACTTATAGCAGTTTTGATGTATATAGACAAATGCAGAATACCACAAATCTCGAAAATATAATAAAAAGACACTTTTAAAGAAAAATGACCTTAGGTGGCAATGCTCTTTCAAATCTGAGTCATGATAACCCACATTCCCCCCCAAAGTGGAAGAGAATATTTTATGGAACAGGAAGGCAGAATATCCAATCACATTGCATAACTAGAGTGGGTTAGGGAAGCCAGAATTCTATTCTTGCTATTCCTCTTTTCTTTTCATATTTGTCTTCCATTTATTCTGTATTTGCCTGAATTAGGATTGGAATGAATATGGGAAGGACTTGGATGAAAGGGAAAGTTGCAGAAATTTAAAACTTTGGATGCCAGTGCTAGTAATTTAAATTAGCAAACAGATGTGAAACACACACACACACACACACAACTTTGCTCAGGTTGATTGAAAATAGCTGCAAATATTCTCTGACCTTCCCTATACATTGTCACAAGAACATAGCACAGTTTGTGTTAGATATTCTATTTTGAGTTAAGAATAAATTGTTTAAGTAGAATTGGAGTAGTGATTTAAACACTAGTGTTTAAATCAGTGTTATTCAATAGATTTCATGCCAGTCACACATATGAACTGCATATGTAATTTTAATTTTCTAGTAGATACATTAAAAAAGTTAAATATGTACAATTTTAATAGTACATATTCATTTAATATTCCTAAAATATTATATAAAAGTAAATACAGAAATTAATAATGAGATATTCTACATTCTATTTTTTTGAAATCTAGATATAATTTAAACATAGATTACATATATCTCAACCACAGATTGCCAGACTTAAACAAAAGAACCATGTAGTTGCCATATGGAACAATACAGGCTTAAGTTCACTTTTCTGAGCCTCATTCTGCCAGAATGAAAAGATGCAATGAAATATATTTTCTCAGCTTTTTGGCTGTGTCTAGCAGATGCATCTCTTCAGACCACAGAAAACAATGTATTCTGTTGCATTTCTCATTTTTGAGAGGATCCTTATAAAATGCTTTTAAAGTAAACTTTTTGGACATTCTCCATCTTATTAGCAGATCTCAAGCATGATGAATTGCACCCACATTAAATGTTCCAATTTGAATATTTGTGAAAATGCATTATACCTTTTATTATATATCCCTGAATAAGCATTGGACTGAATTACAACTAACAGGTTGACAAAATGCCACATTTTATGGACCTGTTATTAAACATGTATTGATTTTTATTTTAGTACTCTAGTTTTGGAAGGGTCACATATAATTTCTGCCTTCCAGTATCGGTGGCCCTTAGAAACTTAAAAATTTGTGGATAAAACTACCCTGGCTGGAGCCAGAGATTTTATGTCTGACATGGGAAAAGGAACAGGATTGCTACTGTTCCTTTAATTCTCACTAAAATTTAAGTGCAGGGCGTTCTGTTTGCGCTTTTCCCACAGCATTGATAACTTTGCCCTAACTTACTTTTTTGAATGAGTGCTTATTTTCTATTTTTGATTTGATAGATAAGGTTGTATCTGTTTTCTCACCTACTATATAAGGAAGTGTCTTATACACTCTAGATACTCAGTTAACCTAAGATAAGTGAATACAAAACCAAAATGTCATAAAGACAAATTTAAAGCTTCCAAATTTTAGTAATATTTTCTGGGTGGTCTGATTCCTCCTATTCTTTAACTAAAGGAAGTGGTTTGCCTTTAAACAATCACTTTATATTTTCTCTTCTTTTTTTAAAAAAATATTTATTTATGCATGCAAGAGCTGGGGTGTAGGCCAGAGGTGTGGGGGGGGTGAGAGGATTCACCGGAGACAGTGTAGGGAGCAGAACAGGCAGATTGACTGAAATTCACTGCTGAGGGGAGCAGTGGGTGAAGCAGGAGAGGTCTGCTGTGCCAAGTGGATCAGCTCCCTAGGATCAAACTCATTCTGCAGTGGCTGGTGATAGTTTGATAGTGCCGAGACTGAACCCCCAGAGGCACCATGGAGGCTCTGTTTTCCCTTCTTTTTTTTAAATCAGTGTTTTACAGTCTTGGCCTGTTTTGCTCCTTCCAAGGGAGCAAAAAAAGGGCTAGTATTAAAAATGTTTAAATACATAAGATAACTGCCCAGTAACAAAGTTATCCAACCCCAAATGTCAGCAGAGTTGAGGATGAGAAACCCTAATCTTAGTTCATGTTAAAAATATGGATCTGTGTTTTATCCTTAAGATTACTAAAACTAAATTGTTTCTGTTTATGATACAACTTTTGCTTCATTGTAATATCTTTCAAATCTATAAAAAAACAATTTATCCAAGTTAACAGGTTAAACATCAATAATCATTTACTGATATTCTTTCCTCTCTGTGTCTTTAAATGTTGGCAGGCATAATGAGAGTTTTCATGACTATCATCATGCAATTCTATCAATTTAATGTATCTTTGTTAATCTCTTTTATAGGTCCCTTTAGATGGAATATAATACAGCAGAAGCCTTTTCATCAAAAGGATTAATGCCTGCATTATCATTTCTGCAATAAAACAGAAAGCTAAGTGGTGGCAGCCACAGACACCTCAACCTGGATTCCACGATTCTACATTAAGTGCTGGAGTTTTTATTACTCTGCTGTAAGAAAGCCTTTGCCAATGCTTACACGGAACTGTTTATCCCTAATTCTCTGGGTCCTATTTGATGGAGGTCTCCTAACACCACTTCAACCGCAGCCACAACAAACTTTAGCCACAGAACCAAGAGAAAATGTTATTCACCTGCCAGGACAGCGATCACATTTCCAGCGAGTTAAACGTGGCTGGGTATGGAATCAATTTTTTGTGCTGGAAGAATACATGGGCTCCGAACCTCAGTATGTGGGAAAGGTAATGGCGTGTTTCTTTTGACAACCACTTTGTAGCAAGGGGGATTGTGCATTATGTATTGTGTGTGGATGTTTTGCACAGGAGTTGAACAAACCAGTGACTAGAACACTGGAATTGAAATCCAAGAGACCTGACTCATTGGCCCGGGTAAGCTTTTGGAAAACCCCTTAATCCCTCTTTGCTTCAATTAGCTCCAGTTATTTTATTGAAATTATTCTATATTCTTTTCCTTTTTTTGACATTTATGCTAAAGACATAAAGTTAAAAATGTAAATGTTGTGAAAAGGTTTAGTATAGTACATGCTTTCCTTGCAGGCATTCTGGAATTATTTACCAAGGAAAGGTCCAGAGAAAAAAACACAGGCATAGTTATCCTAAACTGTTGTTGGCATCCTGGAGTGACCAAGATATTTCCCTTTTCTTCTCCCCTAAAAACATGACCATGTATTTGAACTGTGGCTCAGAAATATTTGATTTGACTTGCTTATGCTTTATAAATAACTTAGTATATATTTTGCAGATTATTTATGAACCTATTTAAGGCCAAAGTAATACATGTCAGAACCCAAGTATCTACACATCAGTCTTCAACAGAGAACATAATTTTTAAATCTTATTGCAAGTTTACAAATCCTTTTTTAATATAAAAGAGTTGATGGTACCTATTTCAGCACATTTATGGTTTTAGTGTTATTTTTCATATATAAAATTTTAACTCATGCCTGGAGTAGATAGAACTTCTCAATGTCACCAAAAACATTTTTTGAGAAAAAAAAAAAGTCTTTTTTTTTAATTTCCAAATTTTTTTGCCATGGTTTTAATAATAATAAAAAATAGAGGAGAGTTTAAGATAACATATAGAATAACATAAAAAATTCAGAAAAGGCTTTAAAGTAAATCAAACATGGCAATGGGAAACCATAGCAGGAAGAATATTAGGAAGCTTATACAGAAAGATTATGTCTCTTGACTATCAAAGTCCCTAGAAGTTTCTGAAAACCAAAACTAAAGAGAAGCATGATGAGTTTTATGATTCCCGTGTTAGCTCAAAGGAATGGAAAAAATCTATTCAAGGTCTAAATTCTTTGCACTATATTTTTAGAATATATCTTTTGCAAAGGCATTTAAAGAATGTTGGATAATACAGAGGATAAGGTCTTTGAGTGGAATCTTTGTTGAAAGTGAACACATAGTCAGGTTGTCCTAAGCTGTAGGGGGTCCTTGACTAATGTTTTCCATGAGGCATCTCTCTGTGTGTAAAATTTGAGTCACACTAAATCAGTCTTTGAGTGTCATTGTGGCCGTCTTAATTTCTAGTGTTGTGTAAAAACATATATGGTTCCATTAAGTAGGACAAATTCCTTGGCAGGCTACCTACAACTAAATGGGGGCTAGTCGCGTGACCTTGGGACAACCCTATAAATGCTAGTACAGGTGATCTATGGGGTCTCTGGTGAACCTCAAAATTGAATGGAAATTCAGTGGGAGGATTAAAGAGGAGACTTGTACACTGAAGCAAGAGCAGTTCCCGTCCAACCCAGGCCACCCCATGCAAATGCATTGATGTGCACAGATAACCCTGGGAAATAACAATCTTAGAAAAATTTGAGGAAAGCATGGAAGGCCCGATGTTATTGTATGCTGTTTCTGCTTATATTGATCCTCTTTATTATCAGGTAATATGTATTCACTAAATCATTTCTATGTGAGGTATCTCCATGTTGTTTTTGGTACAGTTGTTTCTTTGACTTAATTTTATAAAAAAATGGAGTTTTGAAATTCAAGGCAAGTAAAGAGATAGTGTGGCTTTATAACTCTGCCTCATGGATATCAGTTATCTTGACTCTGTCTGTGACAGAAGCTAGACATTGCATTGAGGTTCATGGCAAATGTCTGATGAGAGAATATTCTTTGGTTCACATTGAAGCAGATCCATGGTCTTTTGTTGCCAGAATCTGATGTAAGAAAGTTGACATTTGTTGAAAAATTAATGAAACTGACTTCAATCCTAGGATAATAGGATTTCACATTGCAATGGGTATAGGTAAAAAGGATCTAAGAGTGGCTTACATAAGTTTCGTGTGATACTTTGAAATCTATCTTTGTAATTCTTCACTATAGTTTGAAATAATATTGATAAGTAGGTTAAAAAGTGTTGGTCTAAGATCTAACCTATCATTTAATTAAAGTGTATTTTCACAGGCACATGGAGTCACATTTATAATATGAAATATGTAATGAAATCTCATGGTTCTCAGGCAATGTATGTTTTTAATGCTAATGGAACAACAGTTGCCAAAATTTCCTTTCCAACATAGAAAGTAATTAAAGTTTAATTAACTCTATCTTGATGATTCTAGATGTGGGAATAGTAATATAACTGGGACCATTTCAAATCATTAAATGTATGTGTGTAAACATACACAAATATGTTTACGCCCCTGTTCTTTCTAGATAGGCTTTGAAACAGTTCACTGAAAAATGAATTTAGACAAATAATACAGAACTCAAGCCTAAAGAGAAAGACAAATACAAAGTTCCATGCACCATGACCAGCTGAACTATTACAATTGGTCTTCAGATATCACTTGCATCTTTGCAACAAAAGCATTTATGGAAAATGTTAATTTGTATAGTTCTCATTATTGGAAGTTTCACTTATTGAGAGAAAAACTGATTTCCTTACCTTCAAATCAAAAAGAATTTCTTCATATAGTAATTTATAAATGGGTATGAAGTGGTTTAGTGAACATTAAAGTCAACAATTGTTCTATTTAAAAGGAACTAATATTAATGTTAACATCCTTTCAAATAAGACCAACTGTAGTTCTGTTTATAATACATATTACTTCAATTTATAGACAAAGAACTCACAAGGATATCCAGAGGTAATACTAGTGTGTTCCTCAGACAGATATTTTGGATTTACTAAAATATTTGGATACCGATAATAAAGTGTCAAATAGAGAGTGACAGAAATTCATTTTATCACTCATATTTTTAAATTCAAATGCCATCAATTGCTCAAAGTCATTAAAACACACAAATACAATCCTGTAATATTAAAGATACAGTCACACAGGGCCTCCCCTGTTGGCGCAGTGGTTGAGCACTGGGCTGCGAAGCTGCCCGCATCCTCTACAGCGCCGGTTTGATCCCCAGCCACCAGCGAGGGTCCCACATGGCACGCAGACCTCTCCTGCTGTGCCCGCGGCTCCCCTTAGCAGTGTATTTCATCAGTCTGTCTGTTCTGTTCCCCACCCTGGCTCTGGAGAATTCTCTCACCCTCTCACGCTTCTGACTGTACCAATGCTTGTATAAATAAAATAAATAAATCTTAAAAAAAAAAAAGATACATTCACACAAAGTTTGATACTTATACCAAAGTATATAACTAGGTGCCTATGCCTGCATATGTCAGTCTCAAATCTGTGCACTAAGAAAATGCTGTCCATTTGCTATTTGAAGAAGAACTCAGGGAAATGAGGTACCCTTTCAGATTAATTTATCAGTGATATTTAAAACTAAGTGGTTTAGCATGGCAGAAATATTGAAAGTTAAAACATACATAATTCCTTACTTCATAGGCATTCATTTATTCAACATCATTTTGATTGAGAATGCTTTACAATTTGAGAAGATGTTAAGCATCGTGGAGATGAATTGAAGTGTGAAGGTCCCTAGATTGCAATTGTAATAGGTAAGCACTCAACTTTATTGAGTGCTTCTTTGGACATTGCTTTAATTGCTTTGCTAACACACTCATTGATAAAACCTTTCAAAACAACCCCATGAGGGAGATTATTAATGACCCCATATTCATATCAGAAAACTTCAGAACAAAAAATTAAAGTAACTTTGCCATGGCCCATCATCCACTAAATGCTGGAACTAGATTTTGAGCAGAAGAGACATAGAATTAATCCACACATAGACGGTAGTCAAAATTACTTAAGTGGGTAATATATGCTAAGAAAAGTTGCACAGAGTTAAAAATCACATTGAATGTTAAGTGAAAAACAAATGAGTAAGAATTCGATAAGTTGAATTAGTAAGAGATAAAAGCAAGTGTTAAATAGTGTCATGGAGAAAGACTCAAAGACAGTTTTAAGAATAGGAAATGACAAATAATGTTGAACTATGCTAGCCAATTCAAACTATGACTGAAAAGACTACTGGTTTTGGTTGTTCATGAACCAAGATGACCTTCTCCAAATGGTTTAAATGATTCTCTCTAGAGCTTAAAGAATGAGCAGAGACAGATAAAACCAGTAAATGATGTTTCAGAAATGTAGGTGAGTGATGTTGATCTATGTTTGACATATTTGGATGAAAGTATGTGTGTGTGTCTGTGTGTGTGTCTGTGTGTGTGCATAGAAAGAGATTTTTATTTTATTTTCTATGTTTTTATTTATTCATTTATTTCTCTGCTTCTTTCATGAGAAGGCCACATGACTCCCTTCCCCTTTGTCCATATATATTTTTGTGTGTCTTCCTGTTCTCCTGTTCTTATATCTGTATATTCAAAATATTCTCAAATTGTTTGGTTTCAATATTACTCTGTGGCTGAAGCTGGAAGGTACTATTCTAAGTGAAGTGAGTCACAGGAACCAAATGGTTTAACTTATATGTGGAATCTAGAGAAATCAAGCAAAGGATCAAAGACAACTATAAGACTGACTTGAAAACAGACCACATTTGAGTCATCCAGGAGGAGTTAGTGGAAGGGAGAGGGGAGAGGTAGAGAACAGGGTGGGAGGAGAGTGTGGTCGAGTGAGGGGAAGGATGTTTGTGGTGGGAAATCTGTGGTCACCACACCTGAGGGGAAAAATTCTATATTGTAAAAAAATTAACAAGGATGTTTAAATAATTTTTTAAAAAAATATAATAAAAAATTTAAAAATGAAAAAAGCAAATAAAAAAATTAAAATAAATATTACCCTTTCATTATGAGACTAGATACATTTATACATTCATTGTACATAAACATAAAGATAGTA